GCGAGGGGAAGGATTCCTCTCTCATTCCCCATTGGAAAATAGATTAGATGTGGAGATTTGGTCACTGGGACACTTCGAGAACTGGTCAACAGATGAATGTCCACCTCTGGGTTGTTATCTTAATGATATTTACCCAATATTGCAGGACCCCCAGTCAGATGTGACTGTGTGCTAAGCTAAGGTTCAACACTATTTGCAGGTATTCTTTTCAGGGTTGAGCACCACTTTTTATTCGACTGTGCTGCTCTTTCAGTGTTGGTCTATGTAAACAAGAGCTAGATGGATGTGTTTGACCTCTGCGATCACGTTTAGAGTCTTTTGCAGTATTGAGTATAAGGGGCTATTCACACAGAACACGTTTTTCCATTCCACTGTTCTACTTTCCCATTGTTTTTCTATGTAAACAGGCTAGACGGACATGTTTGACTGTTGGGCTCGTGTCTTTTGCAGCATCTTCAACTTTTAGTTCAACTTTTAAAAAATGCCCTGCATTTTTTCCCCATTTCACTGTCCACGTCTTACGTTTTTCAAAGCAAATGCGTGTTATGTGGGAATGGCCCTCATCATGGCATTCTAAAAACAGCGCTTAAGTTATAAGAACTCACATTTTTACATTTCACTGAGCTACTTTTCCATTGTTTTTCTATTTAAACATGCAATAGTTGGATATGTTTGACCACTGTGCTTGTGCTCAGCTCTTTTGCAGCTTCTCGCGCATGAGGAGCTTCACACAGAACGCGTTTTTCCATGCCATTGTACTACTTTTCCATTGTTTTTCTATGTAAACATGCTAGATGAATGTGCTTGAATGTGTTGCTTTCACGTCTCGCGCATGACACCGCATTATAAAAACATGCCACTCAAGTTAAAATAAGTTTACCCAATATTGCAGGACCCCCAGTCAGATGTGACTGTGTGCTAAGCTAAGGTTCAACACTATTTGCAGGTATTCTTTTCAGGGTTGAGCACCACTTTTTATTCGACTGTGCTGCTCTTTCAGTGTTGGTCTATGTAAACAAGAGCTAGATGGATGTGTTTGACCTCTGCGATCACGTTTAGAGTCTTTTGCAGTATTGAGTATAAGGGGCTGTTCACACAGAACACGTTTTTCCATTCCACTGTTCTACTTTCCCATTGTTTTTCTATGTAAACATGCTAGATGAATGTGCTTGAATGTGTTGCTTTCACGTCTCGCGCATGACACCACATTATAAAAACATGCCACTCAAGTTAAAATAAGTTTAGATTTTAAGAAAAGCGTCTTTTAAGAAATGTGTCTCCAGACCTTGCATTTTTTCAATTGCACTGCCCTGCATCTCAAGTTTTACATTTCACTGAGCTGCTTTTCAATAGTTTTTCTAATTAAGTCTGTGAGAAAAGGACATGTTTGACCGCTGCACTCACGTATTTTTCAGTATCGCACGACATGGTATGGTAAACGAATGTTTGCAGCATCTTGTGCATGACATGGCGTTCTAAAAACAGCATTCATAATAAAATAAGTTCAGCCTTAAAAACTGCAGCTCTAGGCTTCCACCACCCTGTGTTTTTAGACACAACAGCATGCTCTGCATCAAATGACTCTGTTACTGAAATGAAATTTCAACTTATCTGATCTTAATCACTTTACACTGAAATTCCCGCTCTTCTATTCTTCTGACAGAGAAGTTAGCAGCGGTAGCGGTGAGCTCCAAGAGAGCGGTGCTGGGTGGAGCAGGTGTGATGGGACCTCCAGGTCCTCCAGGACCACCTGGATCTCCAGGACCTCAGGGTCCTCATGGACTGCCAGGCGGCCGTGGCATTCCTGGCATGATCGGGGCCTCAGGCCAGATAGGAAACACTGGTCTTAAAGGTTAAAAAACCTTCTAAATATAGATCTTGCTCTTGTGAAAATACTGTCAGTCATCCTCATTACTGTAAATCCTATCGCCATGTTTCCATTTTGCAGGAAAGAGGGGTGCAAAGGGAGAGAGAGGAGATCCTGGCCGACCACATCCTGGCCAACCGGGACCACCTGGACTGCCAGGTAAGTTCAAAGTCCACCGGTAAAGTCCAAATTGTCTGAAGGCGAGTTGGTTTACTCAGCAGCCCATCCTGCTTTCTCACAGGTCCTCCAGGTCTTGACGGTGTGGCACGTGATGGTAGGCCAGGCGAGCGAGGACCACATGGTGTAGCGGGTGAGCCAGGCCGCCCTGGAAAAGCTGGTCCTCCTGGACTTCCTGGATTTTGTGAAGCAGCTGCATGTTTGGCAGCCTCCGCCTACACTTCTCCCAGACTACAAGAGGCGGGAACAGTCAAGGGCCCATCCACTTAAATCAAGCCCTCTACTGGGGCATAAGAACATCTTGGAGAGAGAGTCAGAAAGAAACAATGAAAAGGGGAAGAAGCATGGAAAGAGAGGCACACGGGCCTTTTCTTCATTGGACACCTTGTGAGGGGGGACGGAACAGCCGCTGTCTGATATTGTGAATTTTTTGTATGCATTAGGATTGTTTATGAATGATTTGACATTTGAAAGGAAGTTTTAAGTTGGCAATGTTAGCCGCTGCTGCTCTGTCCCACCTCACAGTACAGAGAGATGTGAGAACATTGCTAGTGACATCACTGATGACATCATCATCATGCGCCCTGGACTAGAAGAACTGTGAGAATGAGGTTCAAACAAAGGTGCTGTTTTTTTATTTTTTTAAACTGTTATTTGTTTTATGAATCTGATCCAAACTTCTAAAAGATAAAGGATGATGGTGAGATTTTTACATGCCAGGAAATTCCCCTATAATTGAACCAATAAAAAAAATATTTAAAGCTACTTTATTAATAGATTCATTTACCTTGTGCTTCAGTGATCAGCTTCCCTGGCTCGAGAGGATACCTCGTGTACATTATGCCCCTGTTTGTATTGTGCCTGTCTGCACCATGAATCAATGCCTTTGATCTGCTCTTCTAGGTGAGATGGCAACATGCTCCCATTAACTTTATCCTCGATTCCATGCTGTAAATCTTTGTAAATGTGTATTAATTTTGTATGGACAGAGTGGGTTTAGAATATAAAACTGATACAAAGTTAACAATTCAGCATTCAGGATTAAACTCCAAACAATGCTCAGACTTTCCGGAATTTTGAAATACAAACCTGCCACTTCCAAGATACTGTGTGTTATGTACTTAGAGAAGAACTGGTTATCTTCATTAACAGACTATTTATTGTTCTTTTTTTGGTTCGTCTGTAAACATTCAAGTTTTCTTGCCTGGTTGTTCAGATTTACCCCAATCAATAAAAAGGAACGTTTTGTAAAACTCAATGTTCTTCTGTATCGTGAACATCTGAGAGGAGCAACGGTTTTAACTTTTGAAGAACTTACTTTCTCTCTTCTGGATCTCACACGTCTTTTTTGTTTTAATAAAATATATTCATTTCGATGTCTAGCCTTGTTTGTGATAAGGCAGCAAGCATGAAATGCAAATGAATACTATCTAATAATTTAAAGCACTTGATCGGCGTTACTTTTTCTAAGCAAAAGAAATACAGAGTTGATGTAATTTTTTAAAAAACAAAACAAAACATTAAACTGTCTCCAATTCTCTCACTCAGGATACAACAACAGAAGATTGTATTGCTCTAGAATTCTTGATTCTGAGTGGTCAGTTGCAGCACTCAGCAGTCAGAAATGTCTTAATGCTCTCTGTCATTATGGCAGCACTGTCAGCTGATCATCTGGGTAACTAATGCTGTATACGTATGACATTTTGTAGAATAAACAGTCTAAGTAGTGTTAAAAAACAAAAAACAAAAAACACTTCAAATACCTGAATAATTCAGTTTTATTTAACTGATGAACCGAAGTGTGGAATGGGAGGGTCTATCACACTCCAATGTTGGATGACAAAATAACCTTATCAAATTACTACACTAGACCAGGGTTTTTCAATCTTTTAGATGCCACGGACCCCCAAATAATATCATCCTCATGCGAGGACCCCATCCTAAAATTTAAAAGCTATGTATTTATATGTATAAAGTATATTACTTGTTCTCAGTATTATTACTAGCATATTGGCTGTTTATTAGTACTTATAAAGCACATATTAATGACTTTTTCTTCATGACCATATTTTTGATCCCTACCCCATACCTAAACTTAACAACTAACTTACTAACTATTAATAAGCAGCAAATTAGGAGTTTACTGAGGCAAATATTTTTGTTAATAGTTAATAGTGAAAATTGGTCCCCAAACTAAAGTGTGACCATTTATTTTTTATTTATTTTTAAGAATTTTTTTATTTTAATCAAATGTATTTATTTAGTTTTAGTTTAAGTTCAAGTTCAAGTTCATTTAGATTCAGTTTTAACACTGTTTTTTTTTTTCTTAAGTTTTCCACGGACCCCCTAGTACTACTTGAGACCCCCTGGGGGTGCCCGGAACCAAGTTTGAAAGACATCATATGCATCATATATAGTACGTCATTTGGGACACAATTCATGTTTCTCGCACCGCTGATTCATATTCTGATCACTATGGTTACAACATTGTCCCTATTTTCAGTATAAGCAATCTTATTTCTATTTCCAAATTCATGCCCTCACCATCATATATGCTGTTATTTACAAAGTGTTGAAAATTTAACTTGAAACTCTGTACCCTTGGGTTCAATACTAAGTATTTCAAGACATTTCAGTCATCCTTTGTGAATACAAAACTGTTGCTATGGTTACAAACTGAATATATATACATATATACATATACATATACATAGCTGTTAAGGTGCTTCAGCTAAATATTTAGTTAAGGGTATGAATACTTATGCAATGTACTTATTTCAGTTTTTTAATAAATGTACGAAGTTGTGACAATTCTGTTTTTGCTTTGTCAGTATGGTGTATGGAGTGCAGATTGATGTGGAAAAAAAGTAATTTAAAGAAGTTTATCATAAGGCAGCAACATAAAATGTAATAAAAAATGCTTTCGCAAGGCACTGTATATATGTTGTTTAGGGACTGACAAGTGAACGAGTCCATAGAGAACTCTGCTTTCAAAACTTTTATTGCTTCTCAAGTTTCTTTAAAGAAAAAAATTTGCACACAAATGACTTTGCTTACAAATAGTGCTATGATGAGATACATGATGATGGGGGAGATTTTTTAAAGCTTGGATAAATAAAAGGTTGAAAGGCCAATCTGAAATCGGCATGCTCGTAACGTTTACTTCATGAAAACTGCATAATTAAAAAAAAAAACTTTTCAGCTATCCTCCCAATATAGATACAGAGTCTTTCTCGCTATCTTCACACACTCACACCCACATACAGACCGAGGGAGTGACAACGAGAGGATAAAGTGCAGAGTGTAAAAGCATCAGACTGGCTGACGCAGCAGAGAATCAGTGAGATGCTGTTTGCTTTAGAGATGACTGAACTGAGAAGGTTGGGTTTGGATGTTTAGGATGACTAGCAAAGCATATTTAAGATTAGAGTGTTCTAGAAGCACATGATGGTTCAGCTGCAAGTGGTACAGTATATCAAAGTAAATTCAAGTTTAAGAGTCCAGTAGAGTGGTAGAGGAGGAGATGTCATCACAGAGCTCAAGAAATAGGTGTCACTGAAATATTCTTATAAAAATAAAATCCCTTTCTGTCCCAAGATACATCACAAAATTGCATTCTAACCCAAAATTGCATATAAAACTTACCTTTACAAAACATCCATTTGTTTAGAGCTTATAAAATTATTCCAAAATATCTGAGACGACCATAAAAAGGGCTGCCATGCTGATGATTTTTTTAAAAAGTACAAAAAGCCATTACATATAAATATGAATATGTACAACACAAGCCCTTGGGGAAGTTCATTTTGAATAATAAACATAATTAATTAGGTAACTGTATCTATGCCTAATGATAACCTCAAACTATTTAATATTAAACGGCTCACACTGTGGAAGGAATTATTCACTGGAAACAGATAGATATTTATGCCACATTGTCTTTGCTAAAGCAGTTAAATAGCAAAATTAGCAGCTGCCAAAATGACCCCCTCACAAATATATTATTAAAGAAATATTACAGATTCAATACAAGCCCTAGCAACGGCATCTGTGGCAATTTTCAGCAGAAAATCTATTTGATTCATACCTCAATTTGCAAAATATAAAAAAAAAAATTAAAAAAAATAATGTTGAACGCTTGCCCTATAGAATTCCATTATAAGTGCAAAGCTGTCAACATTTTCACAAAATGAGGTATGAGTCAAAATAATTCCTGCATTAACAACAGCATGCCATGGATGATTTTAACTTGTATTTAACTCAGAATATTGCTTTAATAGTTAATAAAGGACCTTGAAGACTGGTGTGAAATGTCAATCGGAAAAACAAAAAATATTTTGCCTGGTAAAGAAATGAAAAATATTGAACGCTGAATAAATCTGGGTACCTATAATGACTGTCAACACCTTATATGTCCAGGGATCTAGAAGTCTTCAATTTACTATAATTGTAAAACACAAACTCAAAAATGATGGCAATATGGGACAGTATTCAGGGGTTAAGGCACTCAAGTTTGGGAAGTTGCACTGATTGTAGTGGTGTTAAATAATGCTTAGCCTTTCTTCACCGGTTCATCAGCAGACAATAACTTATAAAAGTCCCCATTGGTGGTGAACCAGTTTTTTGGTATTGCATCATGCGGAAAGGAAATGACATTAATCCTTTGGTTCTCCATGGATCTTCTCAGAAGCCTTAGCAGATACAGGTAGGTAACCGTGAGATTGTCAATCAGTGGGTACCATCCTCCATCTTTTATTTCTCTTAAACCATTTTCTAGTACATGGGACCTTTGGAAGCTGGGCCCTTGGGATTGTACCCCACAGGCATACTCATACAGTCTGACGGGTGACAACGACCATCCTTGCCCTTTGGTCCAGATGGTCCTGGAGGTCCAGGAATACCAGGGATGCCCTGCTGACCAGAAGGACCTGGTGGTCCCATCTTACTGTAACCAGGAGGACCAGGAACACCTGAGAGGAACGGAAGGAATGAGAAAGAGATTACAGTAGCATAAACATGACAAAGTTGGCAAAATGACTTCCACTTTAAAATTGGCTTTGAAAACTTGGGAGTCAGACCTGGAGCACCCGGAGGGCCAGTGTCTCCCATCTCTCCAACACCATTATCTCCTTTTTCTCCCTTTACACCAGGGGCACCTGGGGACACATATGAAAGCAACCTTGTGGATGACTGGGCAAATGGAACTCTGGACTGCTGTAGGAAACATTAGCACATTAGTTCCTCTTACCGGGTGGACCCATGGGTCCCTGCCTTCCTTCGCGGCCAATCTGCCCAGAGCGGCCCGGTATCCCTGGGGGACCTGTGATGCCTGGACTTCCATCTTTCCCTGGGGGTCCTGGTCGACCAGGGGACGCAACCATCTCCACAGGCATCTGCATTCGGGACATGTAGTAGCCCATACGCTCTGCAGGAACAAATTAACTTTGAAAACCAACCTAAATAAATAATAATAAAAAAATTGTACGCCTGCCCCATAGACTACCATTATAAGTGCAAAACTGCCCACAATTTTTTTTCTTTTACAAACTGATTTGAACTTGTTACGTGTATTTTAACTTGTATTTAACTCAGAGTATTGCTTTAATAGACACTAAAGTGCCTTAAAGACTGTTGTGATGTATCAAAAAGAAACCAATATCTTTTGTGGAGGGCTGGGGAAGAAATTAAATCATCCTAAGACACTTTCTGTGTGAAATAAACCATCTAGAAATAAAGCTTCAGTGCTTCCAGATATGTCTGGTTACAAAAGTTCTCTTACCGTCAAAGATCTTTATGACCTGCTGCCTGATGAAGGACCTTAAGTCATCATAGTTTACAACAGCCTGGAAAAAAATAGTTACAATGTGAAGTTAAAATGCTCATATCTACTATTCTGCAAGATATCTTATCCATCATCCGCTAAAACTAACTCGGATGACAACGTAAGCCTCGTACATCCAATTTACAAATGGCTGCATCGACTCTCATGTTTAAAATATGGTGGACAAGGAAAATAAAAAGCAAACATTGATTCTTAAAGTAGATACTGTTCTATACGATACTGTAGGCGGGAAACTGTTTCTGTCAGTTAATAAACTCTTTCAGCCAGGGTTTTTTGGCAGTGTACCATCACTGAAAAAGCCTCACTTCATTCCCTGGGATTCCTGGTGGTCCGGAGGCACCAGCTGGTCCAGGTGAACCAGGATTTCCCCTCTCACCACGGGGTCCAGCTGGTCCTATGATCCCTTCTGGTCCTTTGGAGCCAAAACCAAAGCCTCCTCCTGGTGGGCCAGGACGTCCGCGCTCTCCCGGGGGTCCCCTTTGCCCTGCAGCCCCTGCTTCGCCCTGGATAGGATCAAAGGAGCAGCTGTGATTTACCACACAGGTGATTCTACGACAATGACCACGGGCTACTCAATGATCCCTGTAATAGCACCGCATAATAGGCTTTATATAGAAACGCATGCTCAGCACTATACAGTCCACAAAATAAAATCTTCAAGGTCCGTCCCATCTACTTTTTTAATGAAGGGCAACAAGTGTGAATACAATGAATGCTACAGTTGTGGCTTATAATTTCATTCTGGTTTGCATTCAATTGTGATTTTATACTTCCTGAAAAGCCCTCTGCTGGTTATGTATGTTTTTATAACAATTTTTTTGTAAATTAGCTATTGATTAATCAATGCAGCTTAGTCAGCGTAGACTGCAGATGGGTGAAGGATAGCTTTAATGGCTTGCATTGTAGCCTGGCTTTGCTTTGAAAACATACAAAAAAAAAAAAATCTCTCTCTCTATATTTATATGGATGTGGATGTGACAATTCAGTGTAATGTATATGCCATGGTTTACTTCTGTTCCCTTACAGCCTCATTTACATTCACTTAATGTAGAATGAATAAAAAAAAATGCAGTTGATTCCTCGAAAAGGTCCATATTACCCATGTCAACTTATTTCAACTTACAATATGTGTACTGTACAATAGTAAACATTTTTTACTGTTGTTAGCCCCAAATGAATGGAAATTTTGTCTGGATTTATGAAGTGGCCTGCAAAGAATAACACACAAATTCTAAAAACACTTATGGACATTCAACACAATTGTTTTTTTATTATTGTTTTTTTAATTGTACTGTATTGAACTCAAAGCAGCTAAGCAGTGTTATTTTAACATTATTAATATAATATTATTGTATTTACTATTTTGAATTAGTTTTTTTTTTAAATATTTTCATTTTCGTTTTACTTTAAGTTCTAGTTAATTTTGTTGTTTTTTATTTTTATTATTCCATTTTATCATTTTTTTAAAAATATTTCTATAACTTTATTTTTTTATTTCAGTTTTAGTAACTTTAGTACTTACTTATAAACTTATTTTATTTTGTTGCCAAGTCAACATTTCTTACATTAATTTGTTCCATCTAATATTAATATTATTATTATTCTTTTATTTTTTATTTAAAATTAACCAAGATACTTAAAAAGGTTTTAGTTCTTTAGTTCTACACTGCAGCTGAGCAAGCTTTTTTTCACTAAAATGTATGGCTCATTTAGAAAATGGCCTAAAACAAACAAATATTGATTTCTTACTTTGCATTTCATATCTACTTTTTTTGTGGATATATATTTAGATAATTAATGCTGTTCATTATTATGTTTTCAGTTTCATTATATAAATATTGGTGCTGTCTAATTGTATTGGTTCAAATGCTAATTAATGCTAGTAGTTACATATCTAAAAACATTGCCCCCCTAAATATCTTCAATGTAGTTAAGCTACTTTTTGCTAATGGCTTGTAAGGTAGGATAGTTTTAATACTTCATAGTTTCAAGTAGCATTCCCAACACTAATGTAAACACGTGTAGCAGTCTATACAGAGCTTCTGCAAATGGGTTGAGGGAAAAGCACTGCTCTCATCGCATTCACACCTAAACTTCAAAAACCTGACAATGCTCTCCTGTCACAGTGACATATAGAGGCTCCTGGCATGGCTTTATTATGGAGCATAATGGTGTCACTATGTAAGCTGAGAGTGGTGTTCAAACAGGCTACTGTGGCAGATGAGGGAGGAAAAAACTAAAGAGTGAAGGCAAAGTGAGGTTAGATAACATGCTCTTGTGATTGCAGATGGAGCCACCTGACAAATGTAAAAACTAGCAGGATGTGTTGAGCATGCATAGATGGGAGGGAAAAACTCTCTCTTATGCCTGAATAAGATGTATCCAAATGCATGTGAAAAGATGTCAACGTTCAATGGTGCAAAGACCAGAGGTGGGACCAAGCCATTGTTTTGCAAGTCACAAGTACCGTATTGGCCCGAATATAAGACGACAACTGATTATAAGACGACCCCCCCTTTTTCCAGATGTACCTTCTGGAAGTGGGTGTATTATTGACATGTCAAAGTCTAGACCCTGAATATAAGTCCACCGCGTTTTTTCAGATGTATTTCCAAGAAAAAAATATAGTCTTATATTCGGGACAATACGGTAAGTCTCGAGTCTTCGCATTCAAGTCTCGAGTCAAATCCCGAGTCAAGACAGGCAAGTCCAAGTCGAGTCCCAAGTCAAGACAGGCAAGTCCAAGTCGAGTTGCAAGTCCTCAGCTTTAAGATTCAAGTCTT